TTGAGGCCCCCACCATGGGTCAAGTGCCCGCCACTAGGAAGGTCAAGGCCCATGACGCGAGCATGGGGTGGCAGCAGAGCCGTGTAGACCTGCTCGGAGCATGTTAGCACCAAAGGCTATCCTCATGACATGTCTGAAATGAGCGATTCGATCAAGTATATAGTATACAGCAAGAAGATTGACTTGGACCAGTGGTTGCTCATGTAGGATGTCAAAATGCTCTGCTCTCGAATTCTTTGGCTTCCCAGCCGCAAAATTGGCCGGGCTTCCTGAATATGGCTGGACATTCACTCCCCATTCCTGGCGGCGCGATTGCTTGGTGAATTGAGATGCTTGGTGTGAATTCTCTCCCCGTGCCATCCGCTATCCAACCACAGTTCTCTCGGCCCCGGTTGCAGCATTTGATCGTGATCAAACTTAGCAAGTTTTTTTAAGAGCCCGCTACCCTCCCCCCCTCCCTACTTAATAAGTAGGCGCCTACTTAATTAAGGGAAAGGTAGCTAGTAGGCACAGGACGCTCCTGGGTAGGACGCAGGATAGCTCAAGCACTATTCATTTAGTTCCTAGATTTTTAGGGAAACTTAGATGGGTGCCCCTTCTGTGCAACTCGAACTGCTAGTAGATGGCTTGGATGGATTTCCCTAAAGTGTAGGAACCCTTGAAGTGTCATGCAAAGGGCTTTAACCTAGAAGCTTCTGTTTCCTTGCAGAATCTGAGCACTAGGTACGTCCAGCAACTAGTAGCTTCACGGTACTACTCTTTCGGCTTACTACTTACTAGCCACCTCCATCTACCTCCATCTGTCTCCTACCTCCTGGCCTGCCCGTTCCTTCTGGAAAAAAATGGTTGTGACTTTCGTCGCCTTCTCGTCCAGGCCAAAGGCCTTCAAGGCTCGCTCCTTGCAGAGATTCTCTACCTCAAGTGGATCGCGAAAAGTAAAGACAAATCAATTTTTTGGGGGCAGGTCGTAGTGAGAGCTAACAAGTTGCTAGGTCCTAGCTAGGTGCAAACAAAAGCACTCATTGACTCATCTATCAGCTTGGACACAGAAGAACCCCTCAAATGATTGATTTGTTTCCTAGATTTGGGATGATTTGGGGGGACTCAACATTCTCTTGCACCTGGTTTGGCTCAAGCTTGTGTGGAAAGCATGAACAGCAAGTACTTTTTGCAGTATGGTCATGTGTTTTCTGTCTGCCCTTTGTAAGTCAGAGAAGCACCTGCAAGGCAACTCAACAGCGTTCCCGACGGTTTTCTCAAAGCGTTCCTTTTGTCCGAAATCTATCGCTGTGCATCGCTGCTTCAGCTTTTTGTCTTCCGCTTTTTGTTTGACACGAAGGAGGTGACATCAAAATCCTGGCTGCGCTTTGGAATGAGTCCATGGTCCGTGACAAGGCCAGAGATCAGTGATGCCGGTGTGACATCAAAGGCTGGATTCCATACGCCAATGCCAGGTGCTGCAATGCGAAAACTCTTGCCATCGAGCTTCAATGAGCATAGCTCTTCATCTGGCCGCTCCTCAATAGGGATCTCAGAGCCATCTTTCCTTCATTTCAGAGATTGGCAGAAACAAAGTAAATGACTTCGTCAAAACTAACCCAGTAGATTCTGAGGTATACAGTAACGAGAAGGCAAATTGTATATCAGTTTTGAGCAAGTCCAAGCGTCAATTTCACATCTAGAGTTGTCAAAGGTGCCGCTACGTAAAATGGCACGCCGTGGTGTCTGGAAAGCACTGCCAAAGAATAGGTGCCGATCTTGTTGGCGGTGTCTCCGTTTGCAACAACCCGATCAGCCCCCACCACACAAGCATCCACGCCAAAACATTGCATCAAGGCAGCTGCCATGGAATCGCAAATCAAGGTTCCAGGCAAACCATCTTCAACGAGCTCGAAGGCAGTAAGCCTCGCGCCCTGGTTGTAGGGTCTTGTCTCCAAGCAAAATGCTCGCTCTAGCCTTCCTCTTGCATGCAGCGTACGTAGCACTCCCAAGGCAGTGCCCCAACCCGCAGTGGCAAGGGCTCCAGTGTTGCAAATAGTCATCACTCGAGCCTGGCCCTCTCGACCCTTAGCTTTCATCGCTGCAAGGATAGCATCGGCACCTGCGTCAGCAATTGCTTTGTTGGCTTGAACATCTTCCTCGAGCATTCGTTCTGCAGCCTCCACATAGCGGTAATAGATTTGCTTGTCACTGCTACCAGAAGCTGCAGCATGTTCGACCACCTCTTGGAGGGCATCCATTGTGTTGAATAGGTTCACAGCGGTGGGTCGGGAAGTCTTCAAATAAGTCATTCGCTCCTTCAACCACTGCAGAGCCCCCGGAGCCTCTTTCTCCGAGCCTTTCTCTGCCCTTTCTAGGGCCTCCACAGCCAAGCCTAGAGCAGAAACCATGGCCAAGAGAGGGGCGCCGCGCACCTGCATGCTGCGTACCACTCTCCATGCATCCTCCGAGCCCTTTACTGGAATATACTTCTTCTCTGTAGGGACCAGGAGCTGATCCAAGACTTCTAGTCCCCCAACTCGCGAAAAGCGTAGAGATTCCAGAACCATTGCACTGGAACTTTTCTCAAGGCCAAGTTGATGATCAAAGGATAGGCTGTGAGTTCATGGGCAAAGCGTGAAGGATCTTGAAGGTATGTGTGTGTGTTGATGCAGGTTTACAAGCGTGCAAGGGTTAGTCGTGTGTCTGTTTGCGTTACATGTGTGCATGAACTCATCGTTACGTGAAAACCTCCGAGTCTGTCACCACGTGCAAGCAACACAAGAAATCAAACTGGCTATTGAGAGCACAGCGTTGAAACTGAACCTTGCTACTGATGTGACTTGCCGTTTTGAACAAAGTATCCCAAAGAGATCGGTTCGCCATTGGTGCATGAAAAATCAAGGGCCCCAGAAGCATAGAGATACCACTTCTACTTTTTAACATCCTCATCCTCCGGCATCCAAGGTACCTTGTCAATGACCTCATTGCCACCATAGTATCCTCAACAGTGCGGGCATCTTGGCAAGTAGAGTCCCTAGTCCCTTTTGGAGGCCTTTGCTATTAGGTTGGAGGCATTCACTATATAGTAGGTTGGAGGCCATTGCTTGGAGGTCATCGCTAGTAGGTTGGAGGCCATCGCTAGTAGGTTGGAGGCCATTGCTCTTAAAAAAGGTTGCGGCAAACCGACCCTTTGGAGCCAAGAACCTGCTGGAATGTAGCCTCAAACTCAACTGAAGCATGTGCATGACCTGTCGTTTCTTTGTGCACCCAAGCTTCGTTTAGTCATCCGGTCATCCATGGTCATCTGGCAGAAAAGCTTCTAAGGTCCACGCGTGCGCCAGGCTGACCCTCAGAGTACTTGTTGGTAAGGCATGAGCCCAGGCCTGATTGAAGACTTGGGGACTCGTAAAATTGTTTGTATAACTTAATGTATAACTGTATAACTGCTTGTCCCATGATCTCTTTGCCAGAATGCTAGGCTGGCTCGGCCGCTAGGTTTGTTCGGGGAGTGTGAGAATTGACACAGGACGTGCACTCAATAACGCTCTGGCGTCAGTCAGTGAGTCTGCGATTAGAGGTCCACGCTGATCAGAAATAAAACCCGATGCTGCCAGGTGTAACACTTGAGAACATCTATATATACGCTTCCGCATAGCTCAAAGCAGTTGATGCCCACACTTCAGGACTATATATGGCCTTGATTTTGTCGACACCAATTGATTGAAGTCTTGTGTGCTTGCACTGCAAGCCCAAACATTTCATTCGTCATCCCAAGTCAGTCCTTGCAAAAAATGTGCAGATCCAAAAAAACCTTCAAATACGCAGGCAGGAGAGGGATTCCGGGATTCTGGCATTCCATCACTGCACGGGAGGTGAAGTTCTCTGATGCGATCAGCTCGATGCATTTCATCTGCCTCTCCTCTCGTCTTCGAGGAGCAAAATGGTTTTGAGGTCCTTGTTAAAGTTTCTTAAACCTAGGACATTTAAGTTGGAGGCCATCACTTCTAGGTTGGAGGCCATCGCTAGTAGTTTGGAGGCCATGCTATTAGGCTTGGGTTAATGACCTCCGGGCATCACAACAAGCAGACTTCTGAAGGCTGATCCTCCAGCTTCACAGCCCTGAAGATGAGTAAAAAGAATCCTTGAAGCAAGCTCCAGATTGGGTGAATCCCTCACTACAGCTAGACAAACAAGGGCGTCCCAAGCAATGGGTTTCCTGACTGTGGCTTCATAAATGTGTGGTTTCATTCTGTGGCCACCACTCTACTCATTTTCCTGCCTTCTCTGCCTGCACGAGTCCAGCCATAACAGGATCGGCCTCGGAATAATTCTGGAAGCTTCGCTCACAAGAGAATGAGAAAGACCAACGGTGCTGGGGTGAATTGGTTGAAAGAAATGTACAGCAAGGATAAGGCATGGGAATACACAACATTGTGGTCGTACATACATACTGCTACTCTGATCAATGGTCCTGTTCCTCGATCAAGGATTGCGTTTCTTGCCAGCCTCGCTCAAGGGGCGGTTGCCAGACAGTTGTGGCCGAGACATGGCGCCTGGCACGTCTTAGGCAGTGGTACAACTCTCAGCTCGGCTGTGCCCGGGAATGCTTTTGGATTCCCTTTTCCTGTGGAGCCTTCACCGTCTCACAAAGCTGGAGCGGATTTTAAAAAATAGAGAAATAAAACAGTTGAGAGTCAAGGAGTCTGCCTCTCCCCTGTCTGTCGCATCTGAGACAACACAGGCCAGCTGCTACTATTGAGGTGTTCAGGCTTGGGTGGCTTTGGATTTGGGCCAAAAGTTTGCTAGGAATTCCGGTAGAATTTGCAGTCAAAATTATATCAAAGCAATTGAAGTGGATAATGCAAGTTTTGTAGTAAAGTTATGAAGACATTGCAACTTTATCCTGACACGCTCACTACAACAGTGCGACTTAATGCGGCGAAAACCTTGCTGTGACTTGCTACACGATTACTAGAATTGCATGTACTGTCCAGCATTACACAACCTGAGCGCACAACTGACGGTAGCCTCCAACCTTGACCGACAATCTCGACAATTATTCAATGTCATATGACACAAACATATAAAATATGGGGTTGCACTTCTCCCAAATGAGCCATGTCATCTCATGTCATGTCTTCAGGGTCCCAACAACAACTTGCAACAGGCTGAGTGGGATCAATCTTTCTCAACCGGACAGCTTGATGCTTTCTGCGGCTGCGACGGGAGCCTGCGAGTCACGAATGATCCTGCACGCGGGTCACAGTGGAGACAGAATTGGTGGCTGTTCCCGATTGCCAAGATTGTGTTGCTACCTCACACTCTTGGAGTCCAGGTCAACCTGGGAAAGCTGCAAGTTGAGAACAAATGCCTCAGGAAAGTGATGTTGTCCTGACCCCCTTCAAGTGCTTGTTGAAGTGGTCACAAGAAACAACAAAGCTTCGTCTGCGGGCATATGTGGATGCAATAAGAAGCTTCGTGGTTCTTCAACTTCCAGCAAGTCAGCGCATCTTCTCCTGGCTACTTCCTGCATCACTTTGGGCTTCTTCAAGGCACCTAAGCTTGGAACTTTCAACCAGGTGGCCAACTTGGATTGGGTTTCTTTCACGGCGCCTCTCACTTTGTTCAAAGGTACGCAAAAACACCTGTGAGCACAGCTCCAATACCACTGCAGATTGCAAACAAAGCTACGCACTACTTGCCTGGGGTCTTGCAAAAACAATCCTTTCATCAAAGTTCTTTGATGTGCTAGCAAGCCTCTCAAGAAAATCTTGGAGGCAGACTAGCGAAGGCCCCGAGATCCAAGTCCGAAAACTCGTTCTCCTGGCAATCGTGACATCTGTTTTGTTCGACTGCAACAAAAAAGGGTACTTTGTAATTTTGTATACTTGCAGAGGAACAGCATCAGAAGCAATGACAAACCTTTGCAAAGTATGGGTGAGAAGATGTCATAAGAGTAGATACTGATACTGCTCTGAGCACCTGGTTGAAGAGTATCATGAAAATACCTTTGAGGTATGTGGACCCTTGTTGTTTCGCGGATTCTGTCCGTCTCTGGAAGCTTCATCTCCAGTGGAAAGAATTGCCTGTGCGCTTTACCATCTTTACCCACCGAGAAGCGCTCGTGAATTGACCGAAGGGAAAGCCCCGGCCTGGGCGTAGTTCCTGACGCGAGACGGGTTGGATGATGCAAATCCAAGTTGACCTAATCTTTACTTGGATTTGCATCAATCAACATTTACAGTAATTGATGCAAATTCCGCGAAATTTCCGTGACCGATCGGCTCCCACCCTCAAGGTTGTCTGAAAATTCACCTGTTACATAAATGCATTCAGAAGCTCCCCAATCCATTGCGTCTTGGAACACTGCCTTTCTTTGGCAATATGGATCAACCAATTCATCAGCTCTTGACCTCAAGCAGTTGAAAACAAAAAATGTGTGAATCGCTCTCGAAGGTGAAGAGTTGAAAGTTGAAATTCCAATGTTTTTGAGCCACTAAAGTCTGCCTGAAAACGACTCTTCCTATGTCATCAGGAAAGAGGACCTTTGATCTCACAATGCCGGAGTCTACACGTTGCAGCTGTGCCGGTGCTGGAGTCTACACGTTGCTATAATCGTAGCTTAAACACCTTCTGGAGGACCGAAGCGGGTCCCGGGGTGTCTTTGAAGTAGTGTGTATATATATATATATATGTGAAGCTACTAGGGTGGAGGCCATCGCTATTAGGAACATTTAGGAACGAGTGCATTTAAGTCCACCTGTTGTTTTTGTTGCCTCCTTTTAAGCATGCAGTATTCTCGCATTCAAGGCTATGTGATCTAAGATCCCAGCAAGCCATTGTGTCCGGGTCCTTTTTGGCTGGCAGAAGCTCCACTCATGTCCCAAAGCCCTGAGAAAGTCTTGAGTGTTGAGGAAACACATTCATTATGAACCAATCAGCATAGCAAAATTGAACACAAAAACAAGAGATGATGATAGTGATTCCCTTGCAATTTGCTCAACGCACAGCTTACATTGCATCAGGGTACCACAAAAACAACTAGGCCAACTCCGCATCGACATCACAAATCCGGGTCCTTCGGCACTGTCCTCTTCAGTGCTTGTGGCTCATGGGATTGCTGTTTCTTGATGCGATGCCTGAGCTCAAGAGGCCCGGATTCAACTTAGGATGCTTTTGATTGTTTTTTTGTGTTGGGCTGTTGCTATTAGAAGTTTCAGGTCGTTGAATTCAAACATTTAAACGAGAACCGCAGGGCCACTCCACCCACCGGGGAGTGGCCAACGAAGAGCTTGGTGGTGTGCTGCTGTGGCGCATTCAAGTCGCAGTTGGAGAACACGGTCGTTTGAAGCTTTGGTATTTCTACCTGTCTCATACGTTGTTGCGCACATGTTGCTCTTACAAGCTTACTTCCACGCGTGCGTGGTTGTCTGTGTGTGTGTCACCCTCCGTCTCTAGGAGTTTGTTTATCACAAGGGGGCAGAGAGGACTTGCAAGGCTCTGCCCAACGAAGCTCCTTGCAAGATCCTAGGAAGCGGAAGCTGATCACTTCCGTGTACCTGCGCTCAACTTTGCTGTTCCACTCTTGGTTTGTTTGCATGGCGGTTGATCACGATACTTTCCCCTCAAACCGGTTTCTTTTAGCAGCTTTCTGCAGACTTTGGGCCGCCGCTGGTTTTCCGCAGATGTGCACAAAACATTTTTTGAAACACCTTCAAGTGCTCGGACGCTTCACCTTTCCGTTGAGCCATTCCTTTCCTCCGGGATTATGGTTAACTGAAAGCCCTGTGACTATGTGTGTTTCGCTGTGTCGTCCCACTGGGCGTACAGTGTGAACCCCCGCAAGGGGGCGCTGAAGCCATCGTGAATCACTTTTCTCTGGATCGAAGTGCTTTCATTGGGAATTCTCTTTAATTGATGTGATGTTTCGCCTATGAATCAACTGATCGCAAAGCCGCCGCGCTTACGGAGAAAACACACACATGAACATACAACCCCACCCCCACCCCTTGCTTTCTTTCTTGCGCTTTCTTCGTTTTTTGGGTTTTCTTTCAGGCTCGTTAGGTGGTTCTTGAGGCTCGTTTCCCTGCCCCTCGGGTTTTGTTTGGTTCTTTCTCTCTTGCCTGTTCGTTTCTCTTTCTAGGTCTGCCTTTCCGCTAGAGGCTTTTTAGGTTTGTAACGAGGCCTTTTCAGTCAAGGGCTAAGTATTCAAGTGCTAAGTAGTCAATTTTTTCGCTACTCCTATCTTTTCTTCTTACCCTTTTCTTTTTGCTCTTTCTGTCTTTCCTTCCTTCGTTTCTCAGGCTTTTTAGGTGATTATTGAGGTTGTGCGAGAGAGCGCCGCGAAGCGGCAGCGTGTGTGTGTCACCCTCCGTCTCTAGGAGTTTGTTTATCACAAGGGGGCAGGGAGGACTTGCAAGGCTCTGCCCAACGAAGCTCCTTGCAAGATCCTAGGAAGCGGAAGCTGATCACTTCCGTGTACCTGCGCTCAACTTTTGATCAAGCGGTTCCACTCTCGGTTTGTTTGCATGGTGGTTGATCACGATACTTTCCGTTTCCTTTAGCAGCTTTCTGCAGACTTTGAGCCGCCGCTGTTTTGCCGCAAATGTGCACAAAACATTTTTGGAAACGCCTTCAAGTGCTCGGACGCTTCACCTTTCCGTTGAGCCATTCCTTTCCTCCGGGATTATGCTTAACTGAAAGCCCTGTGACTAAGTGTGTGCCGACTTCTGTTTTCTTGGATTACGACCACAATAACTAGCTACTAGCTTCTTTTAATTGAATTTGATTTTCCTCACTTCATTGTACAGACCAGCAGGGGCTCTGGGTCGACTTTCACAACAGAGCCAACGAAGACCGTGAAAGTTTGGACGTGTAAACGTACCTGCAGTCGACCGCACCTGGGCATCTAAGTGCAGCTGGTGGGTCTCACGCTGTTGGTCCCTGTTGTAACTAGAACAAGACTGCTGGCCTTTGCGCCTGATTTTGCACCTTGTTCAAACCTTCTGTTCTCGCGGACTCAATCACCTTTCCGTTTTGCAAGTCAAGGTCTAGCTTTCAGTAACGTAAAATGCTAGCTTCACGTGGAAGTCAAAACTGATACAGCTCTTGCGAGCATGGATCTAAGTGTGTGTGTGTGTGTGTTTGCGTCGTTGTCTGTGCCTGTGCCCGTGTGTGTGTGTGCCCCTTGTAGTCACAGGGATTCCTTTGAATTGTGTTCTTTTACATAGGCGGGGGGACTGCCTGACTCTTAACAGCGGCACTCCCACGAAGAGGCTGTTTTGAGTCACTGATATGGATTCTGGACGCACAATCCACGTACCTGCAACAACTTTTAAGTTTCCGTAAAGGGCTAATGCAGCTGCAGTCACGCACGGAACGCCGTCAATCTGTCGGTCCGCTTTCGCCTTGAGCTTTTGGCCCTACTTCCTCTTGCAGACCCCCAGGCCCCTTTAGGATTTTCCTGGACCTTTCAGGATTTGGGTTTCTTAGGCTGGCGTGTGGCACCGCTGTCAAGTCAGTATGCATGTCCATAAGTGTGTCTGGCCTCGCGCCAGTCCGGGATGAGCCCGTAGAGTGCCTCCCGTGGACCCGTCGAACGGGGGTTGGTCTTTGTTTCCTTTGCTTTGGAAACGCACGCGCCCACAGCGGGCGAAGGAGGCTTACGCCAAAGTTATTTGCCAAGACCTGTCGGATTCTTGAATTCCAAGTTGGCTGTCTAAGCAGCCAGCCATTTTGGCACGGCGTACGTGGTCGCAGCGACCGAAGTTTATACAAGGTTCATTGGAACCTGCCCCATTCTTGGGTGCACACACAGCGTATACATGCAAACGAGGCGAGGTCTTCCTAGGTGTTTCTAATGAGGTTTGGCTTCATCGGTTCTCGTTCCCTCCATTTGGTTCCCTTTTCATCCTTTTTCCCCTTTTACACACCTTTGGTTTCCTCTTGTCTTTCATGTCCTCCTGCCTTCATGTCTGGTCATCTCATCCTTTTCTTCGTTTGCGCGCACCTTGGTCCCGGCCTTGTGTGTACGTGCACTTCTACATACTTTTAAACACAGGTTTCAGGTCGCCCAGGTCTTTACAATGAGGTGGGGTTCATCGGTTGTCCCTGTGCACTTGGTTTCTTTTTCATTGCAACCACACACCTTTTTTGTCCCGTCTTGTCCTCTTTCTCATGTCTTCATCCTTTTGTCTTTGCTGCGTGCACATTTCCTAGCCTTAGTTCTTTTTGCCTCCCCTCGGGGAGGCGTGTGTGTGTGTGTGTGCCCCTTGTAGTCACAGGGATTCCTTTGAATTGTTTTCTTTTACATAGGCGGGGGGACTGCCTGACTCTTAACAGCGGCACTCCAACGAAGAGGCTGTTTTGAGTCACTGATATGGATTCTGGACGCACAATCCACGTACCTGCAACAACTTTTAAGTTTCCGTAAAGGGCTAATGCAGCTGCAGTCACGCACGGAACGCCGTCAATCTGTCGGTCCGCTTTCGCCTTGAGCTTTTGGCCCTACTTCCTCTTGCAGACCCCCAGCCCCTTTAGGATTTTCCTGGACCTTTCAGGATTTGGGTTTCTTGGGGTGGCGTGTGGCACCGCTGTCAAGTCAGTACGCATATCCATAAGTGTGTGTGCCTGTGTCTCTGTGTCTGTTTTGGGACCATGACCTAAATACTTGTGGGTCTACTTGGAGGGTATAGTACATTGGTCTGCACACCCACCTCCCGATGAGGCTGTACTCGGGTATTAAGAATTGTCCTTTCCCATCTTTTCGCCACATCCTTGACGATATAATGTATATAGGCAAACTTGTAACTTATAAAATACAGTATGTCTCCGCAAAGTTCAGATCATTCTAAATATCCCACGACTATTCCTCCAACCGCCTCCTTGTAGTATCTCTTGTCTTGCCAGGAAAGTATTGGCTTCTCTTGTGACCAGTCCTCATTCCCCTGCGTGTCCCTGTATATGCTGCCCAGCAATGCCCAGCATGGATTATAGAAACAAACTTCCGTGCTCAGGCGCTCAGGTACTTCCCCATCTGAGAAACTTTGTTGTTGTCCTTGAAAGCAAACCATCTGCCGGGCTGCTCTTGTTGCAGGGACAGGAGCACCTCCAGCGGTCTTCGCGAAAGCCTCAGCGATGTGAAGCAATTAGACCATCGAGCTGTGAAAAAATATGCACTTCACTTCGATGATTGATTTTACCAAGAGCAAGCTTCTCCACTTCTTGTTTCCAAACAAACGGATCTTGACTTCGCGAGGTGGTCAATAGCACCCTAGCCCTTGATGTCTTGCTGCCTTATGTCAGCTAGCAACTAAAAATGTCCTCTGTCTGTCTGAGCTGTCCAAACAAAAGCAGCGAAAGCCAAAGCAGCAAGGCAGAAAGCTTCGCATGATGAGGTGCCCGAAACTGCATTCATGTTAATCCCAAAAATGATGAGGCTAAAAAACATCAAACTCATCCAAAAGCATCAAACGAAACACCCGTCACGTGACTTCTGAGGCTTCCCGACTTGCCCAACCTGCTCAATAGCTCTGCCTCCTCCATCCGCGGGCTCACCGCCCCCTCAGTAGGGGTCGTGTGTTAACATCGAGCCATCACGAGCCACAATTACCAAAAATAGATCCGAAGTAGCTGCAGCAAAAGAATGTCAAAAGATGCAACAATATGAGACCAAACACATTGATGCATGCTTAACCGCTTAACCCTTCTTTACGCCATCGAGTCAACTCCGGTGAGCAATCTTTACGCCCGCCGGTAGCTGCACTTTCCGGCTGGGTCGCCCTCGCCGGCGCGCTGCCGGAGTCGCTGGGCTCATGGTTCTCATGGTTCTCGTGCGAAGCATGAGAAAAACTGTCGGACCTCGGAAGCAAAAGAAATGCCAAGAATACGAAGAAGAGGGGAGATGGTAAGCCATGTTATGCCATTAGACGTTCCTTGTGTTCCTGGAATAGATCTTCGGCAAGAAAGAATAGAACAGGAAGGGAGTGGGTACTATGGTCATCATGACTGTTGTCGTTCCTGCCAGCAATCAAATGCAGCTTTGCCATCAAAGGATTGGCCCTGGCACCAACCCAACCATGCCTGCCATGGAACCACTCGCCATAAAGTCAGGAGATCCATAATATGTATATCTCTTCCAATCAGATCTGAAATCCACCATATCCACAGCCCAGGATCAGGGTTTCGAAAGCCTTTCGGATCGTTCCAGGTCGCAGGCGCGGGATCCGGATCTGTAGTACTTGCTTCACTGTCGCCCTGGGCGCTCGGGGCGCTCGGGGCGCTCGGCTCCAGCTGTGTAGCAGGGGGTTTTGGAGCTGTACGTGTGCAGTGAGACTTGGTGCCAAGTGAACCAAGCTTTCGCTCAAGCCAGCCAACAACTACTGTATACATAAATTAGAAGTAAAATTCAATGATTCCAGAAAGGAGCTGTCGAGGGAAAAGGCCAAACTTCAACAAAAACCTGTATAGTCTTCGGTTGGTCAAATCACATAAGTTCCGCGCCACCACCGGAGAACACTTCCAACGTTTATGGCCAACGTCCTTCACATTGCAGTTGGGTCAGGGTACGCGCGGAACCCCAGTACAGCAACCACGGATCCAAGTTTCAATGTCTCTGGCACGCGAACTGCCACTAGCCTGTGAATCAAAGCACACAAAATTTCCACACTTGCCGTTGCCCAGCACAATCGAAATACTAGGTAAACGAGTTCAAGGATGCACCAAGCAGCAACTCTAGTGACTCTAATGCATGTCGATGTCCTTTGTCTATGTTGGCGTCTTAGCCACAACAAATTTGAGAGGCTCACAATCATTCCAGGCTCAGTTGCTAGCTGACGCTCAAAAAGATGTGAAGACAAAAAATGTGGAAAGAATGAGCCTGAGAAGGGGGGAGGACGAAAGCCAGCTGTTTTTCCGACGGCGGCTGCAGGGCTGAGGTGGGGGAGAGTCTGCGAGGAGGTGCGGCAAACGGTTCCGGAGCAGGTTCCGGAGAAGATTCCGGGGCAGGTTCCAGAGAAGGTTCGGGAGAAGGTTGCGGGGCAGGTCCATGAGGAAGTTCAGTTCTGGAGAAGGTTCCGGAGCAGGTTCCAAAGCAGACAAGGCTCCAGAGGAGGGCTTGGACAGCGAAGAGACTTTCTCAGTGGTGCTTCGTGCTGTTGGGGACTTTACATGCGCTTATGCCACTGATCCGCCCAAAATATACCCATAAGTCGCGGCTACACCTCTCTTCCCAGAGACATAGAGACACAGAACCATAGAGACATAGAGACATAGAGTCAGAAAACACAGAGACATAAAACACAGAGAAGTTGCTATCTACACGGGGTCCTTTTCTGATAGCAACTTGTCGCTGCCAGCCAACTCCATACCAGCACCAATACATCCAACCAGACTTCTCTGAAAGGATGACAGGAGGATGGCAGGAACTATATGCCTCAGCATTGGTGTCACGAACCGTCATCCAAAAATATTGCGTAGTTCCGTGATTAAAACCCATCCTTAAACAGCAGGCTCTTCACCCCACCAAGCTGCCATCTACACGGGCCCCTTTCTGATAGGGACTTGTCGCTGCCAACCAACTACCATAGTGGCCCCAATACATCCAACCAGTTCCATTTTGAAGCAATCATCATTCCCCAACAGCCTGCTCTGCTGGTCCAGTCAAAACAATTTACTATATTGACTAGGGTATGTTTTGCCTGCTTTGCTGCTCCAGTCAATACCATCTATATAGCTTCTTTGATTGAAGTCCAACAACGAATGTAAATTGCCCGGTCGTGCATGCTTGGCAAGGACATGTCGTTATCCTTGCTTTTGGGAGCTTGACTCAAGCGATGGGGTGCAGGATGTCCAAGGTTTTGGTGTGCACGCTTTAGGTTCGTACCCAACTAGCCTCATACCTTTGCGTGGACGCTGACGTGTCTCGCCGTTCCCAGCAGCCCGTCCGAGGCAAGAAAAGTGCTCGATGCACCACTCGGCGTCAATTGCATCACTTGCATCACCATGCCCCCATTTTTACCTCATTTTCAGTGCTTTCTGACCCTCACTTTTGAGTGCTCTCCCCCAGCAGGCTCAAGGTTCACCCTCTCAGTTTTCTACGTTTTGGGCCCCCTCCCCCCCACACCCCCTTAACTCACTTCGTTCGCTCACAAAGCCTCCAGCCTAGCCTATCGGCTGGCTTTCGTAATAAAAGGCTCACTTTGATTCAATGGAGTGCTACATTGAAGATTCTTCAGAATTCTTCAAGTTGAACATCCAAGAGATTGAAACAAGTCAGGAGAAGTTGTTCTGCAATTCTAGATCTCAAGACTTCTCCCACACCCTCACACCTTGGGCCTTGCCCTTCTCATACCAGGAAGGAAGGAAGGAAGGAAGGAAGGAAGCATCACTCTTCAAGTTGAGCAATTCCATACAGTGCTAAGGACTCAGGAACAACTTAAAAACCTTGGAGCGAGCATCTTCATTGGAGTTTGTCCTGGTTAGCCCAGCAGTTTTGAAGCCACCATGTTCCTCAGGAACTTTTCCCAAAGAAATCAAACCATCGACGCTGCTCCCTGTCCTCAGGGGCAATCACCACAACTGGCGGGGCAAACGCAGCAAAAAGACTTGGACAAAGGCTCGAGGTGTAAGTCGGTCCAGAAACTGTCATTGTCTGCCTTGTTATGTTTGGGTGACGTAGAATACTCTGCCCACAGGAGGTTTGTCAAAATAGTCAATTATTAGATCCCAATCGTTTACGCTTCCGCATGGAGGTAAGAAGCATTGAAGCAAGAAAAGGTTGCCAAAGGCGAACTGTCCATGTCTCCAATTTATAGAATCCTTTTTGATCCTTCATTCCGTCCATGTAAATTCAAGACCTGAGCCTGATCTATGGACTGGTTCTGCAGCCCGTCAAAAGTTCTTGCTTTCCAGCATGTTTATGCAGGCGTGATAATGGAATTCACAAAATCCATGAAAATCCCGCCTTCTCCCTTCACTGAGAGGGCAGGTATTCCTACCCCTGGGCCGTGCTCGATGACCGGCAGCACCTTGGCTGTGGACACATGCACGTGGCTTCTGTAGGGGTAGGTTGGAAGAATGGATGTAGCTGTAGCTCGATCATCGAATTGATGACCTTGCAAAATAAATACACATGGGCTGTGGAAAATTCGACAGTGATCAGCTGAATTCCTTGTTTGAGGACATGTTTGTCAAACCAGCAAAGTTGACTGACAGCCATAATCCTTCTTGCTCAGCGGCATAACCATCTTTCATGCAAATCACGGACGCTTGGACAATGCCAGCATCTGCCAGGGCTGGAGGCATGACGGTACGCATTGTGTTGATCCGTTCGCGGATGGATGAAACATGAACAAACGGGTGCAAATATGACGACGTGTTTCATAACAACGCTGACACCATCTGACCAAAACAAGTCAATCAGTCCATGTCTGTGTCAAAGGATTACATCAAAACCATCTCCAAATTTATGTCTTGAAGTGGACCTCTGCCAGAATCAGTTTGCTGTCTTTCATCTCAACGGCCTGTGAGCACTGGGTACGTGCAGATCACGTCTTTTTCCGCCTGAGAAGTTTCACACAGTCTGCCTAACTTTCTCCCTGATCTTGGCTCTTGGCATCATAGGGCAGGAGATGGAAGGAGAAGAAAACTCAGGTGGCATGAGCAAACGTGCTACCCTGCTCATCATAGTAAAAATACCGGCTATGACAAGCAAGCACCATGCCACCGTCTAACCAAACAGGGGACCGCCGGTTTTGGCAAGAGCAATGCAATTCTTGTGCATGTGTCGAATGCCATCGCTATTCCATCACTAGTAGGTGAAGGCCATCGCTGTTAGGATGGAGGAGGTTCTCTCTTTGAAGAATTCCCGCACAAACCTCGCAAGCTGCGGCGGCTTCCCGGCTAGCAGTGGCACCTCGCACGACAACGTCATTGCCAAATTTAAAGCGCCAATGCCACAACCAAGAGCTGAAAGAAATGCCATGCAAGATGCCCCTGGATACGGATTGGAACGTTTCAGGAAGTCCACAAATCGACCTATCATGCAACTGTATAACATCGTCCATCATCTAACATGTCTTGAACAGAATTTCCGAGTTGCAAAAAATAATGCACTTTTGTGGACTTTCTGCGGGACGGTTGCACACTTCTCCTGCGTGGCATGCTTTGCTTAGGTGTGTAATTGGTACGGATGGCAGTTCTATGGCGGAATGGAGTTGGAAAATTGAAAACCCATGTTCAGGGCTGCGGAAGGTTGGTGAATCGGAGCAGGATTTAAAAAAAAGAAAAACGCATTGCCAGGGTCGCTTTACACCATCACAAACCACCACATTACACTGCACGTAGCTACACTTCGCACCACGTCACAAATTACCACACTACACACTTCATCAAACAACACATGACTGCAATACACTTCACGATCACCAACCACCACATCAAACATCACGCGTCGCTTCATCACCTGAGCCTATAGAACTAATTTGAAACTTCCGCCCTCTGGCTCTTCCGTAGATTCCCTAGGTCCCTAGAATGTTCGTGCATATTAATCTCACTTCACCAGGGAAGCTTTAAAGCCAAAAGCCCTGCCAACCTCCAGCCGTTTCAGCTGGAGCACCTGGCAGAGGTCCCAGCAGTCGTTTTCAAGAAGCCAGCAAACGTATTTAAAATTCTACTTTGTACGACATGTTTGAATGTCGTTCAGATCGGCCGTATCACCGTTTCGATTGAAAACGACACTGAACGTTTCCAAGGAAAGCAAGATAAAAGCATAGACTGCTACTAAACCAGTTCAAGCGGAGAGCCCATGTCTTTGGATTTGCAGCTTTGAACTAAAAGCACATCGAAGAAACAAATCCTGAAAGAAGCGAAGACTGTCGTAGAATCAGAAAACTTGAGTGGCCAAGACCTTAGTCCTTGCGAGCCAAATACAGTTCTTGCTCCAATTGATGGTAGAATTACTCCAGGATGATTGAATCAAAATCGACCACCTTGCCAGGCCAAGTGTTCATGTCCAACGTCTTGTGTCATCTCTTGTCAACTCACATGGAGAAAGATCAACCAATGCTTCGATGGTGAGTACGTGTAGTGCACACTGCGCCTTCAATTGAAGGGTTGCTCGCTCGGGCCTTTCACATGCACCGAAGAAGTGAGTGCCCCAGAAAGCCGCGAGCCCAGTTCGTTGGATGTTGTGTATTTGTCCCCCTTTCGGTGGTGATCCTTGTTTCTAGTGCTTCGGGCCTTGCCCATAATTAGATCAAACTAATAATTTAAAAAGCTTAAAGCTTTGTTGGTTGAGTCCCTTGATAGACATTGGTCTGCACCAGCCTGCAAGGCTTACAACATATTGCTCAATCCGTTTCGTTCAACTGAAACACGACTGAGCGAACCTCCACGGACGCTTGCCGCGATGGCTTCTGCGAAATCTGAGTGCTGTCGGTGCTGGTGGTGGGGAAAACGCGTCACTGAAGTCGACCACAGAGCCGCAAACTTCCGAGGAGATTCCTTGAAGTACACCGTACACCTGTAGAGCATAATCTTCCATGCCTGTTTGGGGATGAGGAGCGAGACCTCTAACTCTAACAGATTCACGAAGTCGTATACCATAGCGACCCTCTATTAGGCAGGCCAAGCAAGCCGTGCTGGAAAATGCCTGTCCACTTTGAACAGTGAATCTATTCAAAACAAAGCAGGTGAAGCCTCTCTGTCTCGTTCAAACTTGGGGCCAGGCGATAATCTTCCTTGGTGAAGAATATACCTGCGGAATGAATCCAATACAATGCCTCCAGGGTACAAAAGACTCACTGAAGACAAGAGCATATCTACTTCTGCAAGCAACCAACCTAATGGCCAAAGGATGGGGTCAAGTGTGTTTCGTCGACTTTGCTTCAGGGTCGTTCTGGCCGCCTCAACCCCTGGTGCGCGGAGTAGATCGGAGTTCGCCTTGCTACACAAAAGAGGGAACCCGAAAAGTCGTGAGTTCGCCTCCTCTGCCTCATCCAGTACATACAGCAGCCAGAGTCTTCATTCTTAGAGGCCAACTGAGGCCCCTATCCACTGTTCAATGTGGGACCTATAGGACAGCCCTGCATGGCAAGCTCCAAACGACATTGCACCAAGTCTCTAAGTAAAGATTCCAATTCTGAACCAGCTCTCAGCTCATGCACTGTCCCCTGAGCCCGCTGCCACCCCGAGTTCAACACTCCTCGGCCAGTAGAATAGAGTTGTCTGGTGTTGGTCTAAAGGTGCAGCAATCTCTCAAGTATGACAGTATGAGTGAGAGAGATCCTGGACCGATATAGCGGTCTGAAGCATGCAATTGGTTTGCTTTCGGGTAAAATACTACTATAGATGTCAAAGAATGTACAAACGAATCAAACCCCTCTTCCAATTTCAATCTTGCTGCGGAAAGGTATGTCTCTATTGAACCCTCTGCATCTATTCGCTTTTGAAAAGCCGTTCAAAAAGGGATCCCACGCCTCTCCGCTACAATCATCTCCGACGTTGAATTGCCGGAATTCAGGACCCTCCTGGCAAGAGAAGACTTGAAAGTTGCAGTGTCAAAGGCACTAAATGCTCACTGGTCCGACTGCTTGACAACCTGGCCTGGACATGTGCTGAGGGCTTCTCAGTGTGGCTTCGTGAGCCGAAGTGGCTCTCGAGGCTCAGCGAGCGCGATGAGAATCATGAATGAGAGCATCTCATGTATTTCTTGACTGTCCTCTTCTTTTGCCAGCTTTACGAACATGAAGCGACGAAAGCAAATCACCGAAGTGCCAGATTCACTTAGCATCCCTGGACAGCTCTTTCCGAACCCCCTTTCACACTCAGCCCGAAAGGCCCACAAGGCCCGAAAGCCCTCCAGCAGCACCCTGACCATCCCAGGGACAAGTTGACAAGATCCCAGGGCTTTTGCCGATCGGCTTCGCCGAAGCCTCTGACCGATCGGGGCACCTGAAAGTCATCATGTGCAGGCTCTGCAGGCCCTCTACGCCCTGGCTGTGGAAGCGCGTCTCTCTCTCTCTCTCTGTCTCTCAACACCGCTGGCCTTCTTTGAGAGTGGTCCCCGTTCAAACTTGTCCCCTCAGCCAATCAGCTGCACACCACGCCTGCCCCTTCGTCAATGACCTCCGACCTGCTCGTGCCAAAGGCTCCAAACAGAACGAGGTGAACATTTTAAGAACCCCTTAAGACGCAATCAAACATAATCAGACTACTGTATGTAAATGACTGAACACGAACTTAGCAGTCTAGCATTACTGACGTTCATCTCTGCCTGGATGCACAGCCCTGAACGTGCTCATTCAAACTCTTTTCCCCACTCCCCCACAGCTTTTGAAACGTCCGGGTCGTCTCTGATCAAAGGCCGAGAAGGGTCAAAATGGATCAGTTCACAAGCAGCTAATTGATGCTATTTGGCAACTCAGGATACTGTGCTTGTCAGTCAAAGACATTGCAAATGGTGGCAAACCATACTTCCATGAGATTCCACACAAGTTGGAACAGGCAGGCTGACTTTACAGAAGAAAACAAAAGAGTTGACCACACACCGCAATGGAGGTAAGCCTTGCGAATAGTGCCCCACAAAGCACGAGGGGGAACTTATGTAAAGCAAGTCTATGCACTTCATGCATTGTTCATCGACCAGTCCACCAACTCAACATTACCAATCGTCCACCCGATTGCACTCAAGCAGATCTGGCCAGGGGCACTGCTCCTCATCTTTCTCCTCCGTGTCCTCCTTTCCTGAACCTTCTTCCATGGCCGAAGAAGGTGCAGCCAAAGAAGTTACATGCCTGAAGCAGGCGTGCAATCTGAGACGTGAAACCCAGTTGATCTTCCCTACGACGAAGTCATTGCAAAGATATTCAAAACCTTATTCACATCGATTCGCATGACTGCAATGGGCAACCCCTGGTTTCTTTGCGAAGGGAGCATAACGGTCTCGTGCCTGCAAAGTTGGATTCTTTTTTGGATATGGAAGTTGTGTCGTTGAATTTGACAAACGAAACCTGAAAAGGGCGCTCGACCCTGTGTTTGGTGTTCTGTATGCCTTGCGCCGTGCGCCTTTCAAACTAGCCTACTAACCAATGCCCAGCCAATGCCCAGCCTCCAAGCTGGATTTGTTGGCAAATGCTGTGAACTTTCAGAGTCTGACCTTGCAATAGCTGTGCTTTTGATTGTCTTAAACATAACTATACCAGCGTAGACCCCAAACAGAGCAATGTTCAAAAATGAGATCTCCGAACAATATGGCCAGCAGTATTTCCTAGAGGAAGAAAACTATAGTCCACCATGTAGACGCACATACAAAATTCAAAGGGAAAACATTAAAATTTTGTTTTTCATTGACTTTACAATGGGACGCCGTACAAGGGCTAAAAACATGAAATTTATGGATCCAGGTTGTGACATATGTTGCCCCACTTGTAAACACGAATGCGCAGACCCAATCAAAATGAAGATTTCCTCAGAGCACGGACACTGCGCTTGGCTGTTTCCTTCCTACGCAGTTGCCTTCTTTGGCTTAGCCATGTACTGCATTGACCTGTGTTTGCCATAGGTCGCAACACTTGACGTAAGAGTGTGTGATTGCTTCGTTGATCATCCGCACGAAAGTAGCTGCCAACCTAAACAGCAAATCGAGCAATGCAACGCTTGTGGTGAAAATATGTGAAAATAGTGTATTTCGATGCGAAGCAACTCGAAAGAAGCTTGTGGTGACTCAAAACGAAACGAGATCTGCGAGGATCTCTGCGAAATAAGGAAAATCCTTCAAGACTATGAAGGGCTTAGGTGGCTTCATCTTCGGGTCGTCCAAGCAAGCTGCCACCAAATCTGGAGCTCTTTGAAAAGCTTCAAATCCAGCCTCATTTAGCTCCAGATTTCAACTGCGTGTGTGTGCAAGGGCAAAAAAATTGATTTTGCCATTTCGTTTAAACTTTTTTTGGCAGTGCTTGTTCACATCCACTGACTGTTCAAAGATGTAAAAATGTTCAAAAACTCTCTGAAAGCCACTGGTCGCCTGGGTTGTTTGCGTCCGCTTGTGGTGCATGAGGAATAGGCTCCGATTATGCAAAAAGCATCTGTTGTGATAAAGGGCTCTTTCTATGTGCAAAAACTCAAAGGCCCATACACCGGGTCGCAGAAGTCAGTGCAACCCCAACATTCATGTCAGTTCCCACTGTAACATGATTGGCGCCACCACATTTGGATAACAATTTTTTGTGACAATCTCTCAAGAATGACCTGTCAAGGAGACAAATGGGAGACAAATGGAAGACAAGTATGAAATCATGCGGCCAAAGCACTGAGAGCATCCAGAGCTTACTGGGAGACAAGTGGGAGACAAATGGGAGACAAATGGGAGACAAGTATAGAATCATGCGGACAAGTGGGAGACAAATGGGAGACAAGTGTGAGGCCAAGAGCTTACTGGGAGACAAGTGGGAGACAAATGGGAGGCAAGCTGAAATCATGCGAGCATCGAGAGCTTACTGGGAGACAACTGGGAGACAAGTGGGAGACAAATGGGAGACAAGTATAAAATCATGCGGCCAGAGCACTGAGAGCATCCAGAGCTTACTGGGAGACAAGTGGGAGACAAGGGTGAAATCATGCGGCCAGGAACACAAGAACCCCTCACAGGTAAACCTGTTCGGGGAAAAAGCGGCCTCCTTGAAAGGAATAAAACATCAAACGCTTTAATCCGACTTCCCGACCCCACGCACGGTCTTCACGTCAGCTAGAGCGCAACTCAATAATTTTGACAGAGGGCTTACAGAAGTCCAATTGCTTTAATTGGTATCTTTATATAGTTGCGTTTCTCAAGAGAGTTCTGCCTCTGTTCAATAGAAATCTTCTGACAATGGTTTCATTCAGGCTGTGGTTCCGTTGGTGCCAGTTCCAAGCTGACCAAGTCGAGATTGCTGATGACAAAATTGGAGTCGCTGCATCGCAGAGTTTGCTTGAGCATGACATATCACCAATCAGCGCGCGCAGAGTGAGACAGTAAAGCCTGGAGGATTTGGGCCGGATTTAGGCCAGTTGAACAAAGGCTGCTGGGATAGTTCAGAAACGGTTTGTGGTGATTTCTCGGTGGGTGCACCTTTAATTTGGAATGCGTTTCATGTTTTTTCGAGATGTTTCTTTCAAAAACATTGGAATAGAGCGGGTTTGTTATTAGCACCTAGCTACTTGCAGCAATTTCGTCGTAGCTGGCCAAATACATTGGAATAGGGCAGGTTTCATATTAATTGCTAGCTGATTAGGCTAATTTGGGAGCTGTCGTAGCTAATTCCTACCTATCACAACAGTGCAGTTAGCAGAGAAACAGTAAAGAGAAAGAGAACTAGCACAGGAGGCATAAATGGTTGGTTAGAAGCTTTTGCTGTGGGGAGTTCACCTTAAAATATTGATTTCGTGGCAGGTGCGGGTGTCGGAGATGAAGTGCAGATTTCATGGAGTGGGGGGGGTTGGAGGAGCAGCACACCAGATCCAAAGGTTAGAAAGCAAACAAATGAAAAGCAAAAACAAAAAGAGAAAGGAAAACAGCTGCCAAAGCAGAAAAGCAACAAAAGCAAAGAGCAGAACGACAAAAACACAAAAAGCAGAAAAGCAACAAATGCAAAAGAGCAGCAGAAGCAGAAAAACAACAAAAGCAGAAAAGCAGCAAAAGCAGAATCCGGAAAAATATAAAATCTATATATATATATATATATAGGGCTCGAGCTAGCTAGGTTCTCCTAGAATTTTCGTTTGCCCCACGTGTTTTCGGACACGACTCGTTGCCGAGCGCCACGGTCACCGGCTTGGCATCGTGCTCTACGGAAGAAGCGACATCGGGCTCGACTTCTTCTGCAAAGGGTGAAAATAAGACAGCAGATCAGGAACTCGCTGCTTTCGAGAGCTCGCAAGGCCAAGGCCCTTCTGGAATCACACCATTCTGCACCGAGGTACTGCATTCCTTCGCTGGATTGCTTCAAGATGCCATGGAAGAAATGGCAAGGTCAGGGCAAGGGCCAGCAATGGAGCGAGTGGGAGAAACCCTCGAAGAAGGGGAAAGACAAAGAAGAGAAAGGTGGCAAGCAGCCCATCCTGTATGGCTGGGACGGCAAGAAGATCGAGGTCAAGCGAGATGGAGGTGCAAAGCCGGGCTCATCCTCGGGATCCTCGCATTCGGATGCTGCATTGCGGGAAGAGAACCGCAAAATCAAGGAGGTTGTGAGGAATCTCCTTGGGAGCGAGACGCAGTCAGACGCGGATATCCAGGCTTTGAGGGACTTTGCCAAGGTGGATCCATGAGAGGATTTGAAGGAAAGGCAACGCCTCCTCAACTCGGAGAGGCGCTCCCTGAACAAGACGGCCAAGATCAGGGAGGTCATCGACGAGCAAGAAGCCAACTTTCAGAGCTGGCAGGAGACATACAAGGCTGGCCTCGAGCAAGAAGAGAAGCGATACCAGGCAAAGATGGCCGAGCTCCGAGAGGAGTTGAAGGCAGCAGAAAAGGGGGAGATGGAAGATCCAGTATGGACGATGGGCGAGAAAGTGCGCAGGGCCTGCCGGTCTATGTGCAGCAGGAACTGGCCGATTTGCGAGGCCAAATGCGACAGTTCATGAGCTATGCCCAGATGATGGAGAAGAAGAATGCTGCCTTGACAGACCAAGTGACCATGTTGGTCACAACGCTTCAGAGCAGAGAGCAGCAGATCTCTTCGGATTTCTCGCCACAACACCCGGTTCCTCGCTCAGGCAATGGAAATACCCTATGGGCTCCTTCGAAAGAAGAGGGTGTGGCATCCGTGGAAAAGAGGGAGAGGTCGCGATCGCCCACAAGGAAGATAGCCAAGCTCGAACACAAGCTGGATCCAGTGGAGTTCAAATTGCAGCTGGAGAAGATCTCAGAGGGCTCTGGAGGCGGTGCTGCCCCTGATCCAGAAGCAGATGCCAAGAAGGGTTTGAATGTCCCTCATCCTCTCCCCGAAGCGGGCAGTTCAGCGCTTGCGCCCTTCGGAAAGAAGACAAAGCCTGGCGCAGCAGAGAGGCAGAATGTCAGCCCATATGGCAGAGTTCGCACCAAGGAGATGGATGGATCTTGTGTCTTGGAAGGATTGGATTCCTAAAAAGGCTTTGGTCTTTCCTGAGCTCTGACATGGTAGGAGGGTGCGCCATTTTTCAAGGCTGCAACCTACTTTGTGATGTGTATGGTGCTTATGAAAAACCTGGGTTCTCCCTGTCTATCTTTGGGGTTGAGATAGGGAAATGGAATTGTTTTGTGGACATTTGCCGTTTGATTGCCGAATGTCTCACATATGCCAGAGAGCAAGTGACTGGGCGCGCTTGGGACTTGGGAGCGGGTGCGCAGCTTCTGGTCTCGTTTTCCACTGCGAGCATTGCGCCCATCCTCACGCAGCTCATCTTCCTTATCTGGGCTATTGCTGGCATTAGTGGGTATGCTGAAGTGATATCCTGGAAAAGTGCCTATTTTGGTTTTCGAAATCGGCGCCGTATTCTACGTGTCCCAAGCTATGATTTGTGCATTCGAGCGTGTATAAAGCTTGGAATTTCGGGGTGTGTGAACGTTGGCTTTTAGAGGCCAAACCTTCGGGTGCTGAGAAGACATGGGGAATAGCTCTGTTTCAGTGCCTGTGTAAGATCAACTTGGCTGGCATAATTTTGTGCTTGATTTGCATCTACGTTCGATATCGATGCGGTGATAGAATCTACCTTCCTGCAAAAAGCTTTGCAGTGCAGGGTAGGCGATTCCCTCCATCAAGAGCTATATTCGTAGCAGAGTTAGGTGGAAAGGAGTCTTCCTCTTGCTGAATAGCGTTTGTGCACATTGCACGCCTTTTCTAGGAACTGGTGTGCTTCAGGCCATTAATGCCAGCCAGACAGGTATGCAACCTGAGGCAGTGCCTACCTACCAGAGTTCGCACTGCTACGGTGATGACACCGCCACCGGAAGACATGCAGGGGGAAGTGCAGCAGGCATGGTTGCGGGGTCGCTTAGTAGAGCTTACGAGACGATCCACCAAAATCTGGGGCTTTGGCATAGCTGAGGCAGAGGCGATGGCCTATCAAGCGGCCAGAGGGGTTTGGCCCGATATTATACTGACTGGCCTCTTTTATGATGAAGTACAACGCTGGGAGGTCATATTAGATTCAGAGTTTGACTTCACCCTGGCGGGTTTCCTTGTGGAAATGAGAAACACAGTGGATCCGCCGCTTGCGATGGGGCAACTATTGATGCTCGCTGTGGTTAAGCCCATACCAACAGTGGATGAACAACAGGGACGTGATGGCATCTATGTCCTTGCTGGTGTGGACCTACAAGAGAATGATGTCCTAGCCATGGTGGCAATCTGGGATATGAGGTCCCACGTAACTGTGGACATGCACCCGATGATTTTGCTGATCAGGATCCACTCTGAACTCCTCCTGCAGTTACTCGGACTTGAGAGCAGATGCCAGATTTCTTTCATTGTGTGCCACATCTCATACGATGGACATGAACTGCCTCACTTCATTCCATGGCAAACCTTCAATGGGATGAAGATCGTCATTCAAATTCGTATTCAGCAGTGTTTTCATGGCATCGAAAATTTGCGCCTTGGGCGATATACTGGCGCCAGCACAGAGGAGGACTCTGTGACTCTCATGCAGTCGCACCTGCGACGGTTTTGGGATGATGGATGTGGTCCCAATTCGCATCAGCGTCTGGCTAGATGTAGTGACATGGAGCTGTCATGGATAGTCCCTGTGCGATTGTCCCAGATACACATGCACCAGGTGTGGAAGTACACTGGTCGTGATGTAGTTAAAGATCACTTTGTTGCGCAGGGCATCCTTTCTGAAAGGCTCCATCTACACGGATGGATTTTTCATGAACATGAGCAAGATCTTGGTGTCTCATTTTCGTGGGGTTTCCACTCTAACTCCCCCTGGTCCATGCAAACGGGACACTTCCTGAAGGGCACCAGTCTACTTGATGCACTCATGTATACGGTAGTGCCGCAGCCAGTAATGGTGCGCCCGATTGGGGAGTTTCCAAGTCAAATGCAAGTTCTGGTACCATCAGATATTGAGGAACGTGCTCGGCATCTTTTTGTGCTTGAGTACTCGTTCTTGGCGCTGCTTGAACGCCTTGCTGTCAGATGCGACCGGCCGTGCACGGTACGTGAACTGTTTCGCAAAATCAGGTTTGACTACTTATGTGGGAGTACCTTCAGGTGTCAGGCTGCATATCGACATGGTTCATGCCAGGCGGTTTTCTACGATGACCAGGAGATCAAGTTACCTTTTGCTTCGTTGGTTCAGTTGGAAGTACTGAAAGCGCCGACTTTCCCTTGTGAAAGTTTCCAACCGGCGACTGCAGAGCAAATTGAGGTGTCGCGGATTGCAAGCACAGTCGTCGAGGCTGGGTCTGCTGGGCACGAACGGATCGTTCAGCAGGTACAAACTGTGTTGAGTCACCAACGAATGGAGAGTGCTCTTGAGGCAGATGATGTGACTGATCTCATGCAACGCTCTTTGTCGTCGCCACCTGTGACTCTCAGTACGAGATCCGCGGAAGTTTCGAGCATCTCGGGTAGCGTTCAAGTGCCATTTGCCCTCCGCAGTTCGCACCAGGCTACGATGTATCATGCATCGATGTCATACCTTTGGGAATACTGGAGAAGTTGCCCTTGGTATAGCACACGGGAAGAACTATACATTCTCTGTGTAACGCGATATGTCGGTGGCACTACGTCTTCTGCCCAATACTGTCCGATTGATTACATTCGACCACACTGCACTGATCACAATTTTGCCAGCTGGTGTCGGGGTGTTGCACCGATATTGTGGCAGTGTTCCCGGTACATGGTGATGTGTACATCAACGTTCCGACCTTGCTCTTTGTGGATGAAGTTGCTGGCATGGACGTGCCCTTCTTGATTCAGGTTATTGGGAGGGGGCAGGATGTGCTGTTGACTTACGTGGCAAGTCAAACAATGAGAGTCATGGACATCCTGGTCTGGGTGCACCGTGACTATCCGCTGACTGGGGATGTCAGTTTCGAGACTGCTGGGGGCAGGCTCCGACAAAACATTTTAGTGCGAATGAGAGCAGGGAGCTTTTTTCGAGCGCTACTACATCCTGAAAGGGATGGGCTGCCTGACGGACGAACTTCATATACCAGTGAGTCTGTGGGCGAAAGTACACTTGATTCTTGGGGGTCTTACAGGCTGCCGCCAGTTGAAACGCTTCCTATCCTTCATCTGCCATTGTCGCTGCCGCTGATTACCGACGCTACTGGCAACATCTATGGAGCGCAACTACCAAGAGATGAGTGGCCAGGAATGGTGTCGGATACAATGCGGGTTGTAGGGGAGGATGAGACTTCCTTCATGCAAACCGGTATGCCTCTGGGGAAAGAGAGTGTCTCCCTTCGTCGACTGGACTTTCGATATTTGGCACCACAGGATGTATGGAGATGGCCCGTTCTTGGCCACCAAGAAGCAGCTACCTGCTCTCCAGTGATGATGTCATTCGACATCAACTCATGTCTTTGTGGTCAGCACACCATGGCAACGGATATGATTTCCGCATTTGGACCCTTCCTAGGGATGAGGGTCCCACTGCAAAGGGAGTTTTGCTGTCACTATGCCTGGAGGAAAACTGGGGGCAACGTTTTGCTGTATTGAGTGAAACTTATAAGGTCTCCTCTCCTTTCCTTCTGATTTCGATGCCGGAAGGTGAAGAAAGCTATCATCTTCTGATGCTAGAGGAACAGAATTTTCGCAAGCCTATTCGATATTTTCTGTTTGAAAATGCATTGATCGCACCAGCAGAACGTGAAATTGTTATGTGTCCGAAAGTCTGCATGTACGAGCATATATTGCTGAGTGTTCGGGATAGGAATTGCCTTGTCAAGCAGAAGTGTGAGCTTTTTGGTCATACGCCACGTGGGCCTGAAAGGCTCCTGCCAGGGCAGACATTGAATCTGCCTACAGGAACCTTCCGTAGGTTGGGACTTATGCAAGAAGCTCGACTTTGCAGTGGTAGTGAAACGACCACATCAGACTTCCTGAATACTGGCCGAGAGGATTTTGAGGCCTTACTGCTTATGCAGATTGGGGCTGCTATGCAGTCAAGCGGTCCTGAGGTGGAGGCCCGATTCTCACTGCAAGAGCGAGACGTCTCATACTTTTTGGATGAGCTTCGAGCTGGTTGTACTGGTGCTCGTGAAGAAGCACAGTGTGTGTTCCATCTGGTTTCCGGGTCCGAGGATATTGTTCGAGAGCAAGTGGCTAATGTGCACCTACAAGACCTTGACAGTCCACGTGCCTTTGTCTATTGCCTCTTGAGCTTCTTGCCGCCTTCATATGCTGGGTCCTTTCGAATCTGGATGTTTCGAGCCACAGTTGTTGCAGGGATGCATAGCTTGTTGGCGGTACACCGGGATCGGCCGGGCCAAGTGCCAGTGTACGTTCAGGCGGTGTTCTCTTTAGAGCCCACACGCAAACACATTGCTTTCATGCACCAACCGCAACCAGCGGTCTATTTCGTAGGCTGTTTCGGGTGGGAAAGAATGATTCAAGCTGGAGCGGATAGATATTCATTCCAGGTTGATGATGTACCGGTGTCCTCACTTAGTACTGTTGATATGAGGCTGGCGACCCTTATTCGCATTAGGGAGACTGCCTACTGTGAGTTCGAGAGCGGTTTGCCGGCAAGACGAGCCTACTGGGATAATCTGGAAGCAGGCGAAGATGAGTCTGCCTCTGATGCTCTATCTTTCCTACAGTGGCAGTCCCTGAACATGCACACAAGACAATCTGAGCCCTGTTCGAAAAAGAAGCGTTATGGCCTATCGGACTCGGTGTTGCACAGCAATAGCTGCAGTGAGTCCGCCTGTCGATACTGGGGGCCTCTGTTCCACTATGATCCTTGGGCTTCGCTACCGCCTCCAGGTAACCCGGTGTGGTGGCTGTCTAGGAGGTTGGAATGCCTTGATGTCTGCATGCACATTGGGAAAAATGTTGTGGTCATGGATGCATTGCCCAGTCAATTTACTGAGCAAGCAGCACCTAGGCCGATTTCCCTGTTCGAAGCCTCGCCTATTCAAGATGAAACCTCT